TTCAACAGTTGACCATTTCAAATTACCTCTTGCTATCTTTAAAACAGTTTTATTACTTTGTGTAGAACACTAGAACATATGTGATGGACGGACAGGCAACATCAAATCCATAAGAATTGCATTTAACAACCAGTTGGAAGCCATTATTTAAAAATATTTGTCAACCAAAGTTATGTGTGTATATTATGTATTAATAATAGTTAATATGCTTTTAGTTTTTAATATAATGTACCTAGGTAATGTCTGTAGAAAATATTCCTGTAGCAAGTATTAATCCTTCGATTCCCGAATTGAGAATATGAATAAGCTGGTTCGATATATGGAACATAGATAACCAATTAAGTGAAGAGACTTTGATTCCCGCACTGAGAATATGAATAAGCTGGTTCGATGCAAGTAACAGGCATAACCAATTAAGTAAAGAGATTCAATTAGGCTTTATCTATAATTTTTATTTGGCTTTGCTGAAAGACACAAGTATGTACTACAAATATCGGTGGAACAAATGTGCGATATGAATGTAACATAAATAGTGTTTGTATCATACGAACGAAAAATGATTGTTATCATTTTATGAAAGTCAGTCATGGTTAAAATATTTATGATACCTTACATTGAAATATTGAACCGATATAGTGTATTGACTGTAATTGTTCATTCGGCATTATTCTGTATTTCTGATAATCGGAAGAAGGAAACATAGCTTTTTTAATTAAAGCTTTGAAGCAAGATTCAGACTTTGTATTTATTTATTTTGCTTGTTTGTTTATCTGTTCGTTCGTTAATACGATCGTTCGTTCGTTTATTATTTTAATTAATTTGCTTTATTATTTTGTTTTATTCAATTAGCATGGCCGTAACGGTATTGTTTTACAACTGCATACACAATAGATTCTCAATAATATTATCTTGGCCCTTTTCATCAAATTTTGGAATCCGATAAAAACCTTGAACACAATAGTTACAATTCACAGAACGAATACGGTATTTCGGTCTAAGCTACCATATGAAACTAAACATGTACACAAATAATGAATTTATTTTAGGAGTTTATGACTACTTGTTGACATAGTTTGATTTTGTTTTTAAACTGTGCATCAGTATTTTAAACTGATCATGACTGTCAGCCATCTTTGCAGTCATAGTTTTACGAACTATACTTTATTTTCTTTTGAATGTCAAACATATATATAATTATATTCTTTATATATCAATGTTTACATCCCCTATTTTTTGTCTGTTTACATCTAAAACCACGTGGTAAAACAACGCTCAATCAGTATTAAGTCCAAGGTTACTGAAGATAAAAGCCGAGATGTTCCAATTTGTTGATTCTGTCAATACTTACTGATGTTGCGCTTCAATTTTGTTTTTATCAAAATATTGTGTTAGATATCACAATTAGCACAAACACGATTTTTTTAGGTAACACATTTGTTTCATAATGGTTATTGCATGAGCTTTTGTTGTGGTGGCGTAAATAATACGATTGTAGATTTGACAAATCATCAAGGCAACAAATATTCTGATAATTGTTATATTGTCTTTGTTGTTCGATATAAATTGTTTATAAAAGCAAGCAATTCAGATTATTCAAAAGATGAATGTATTCTTTGTCAGCATTTATGTTAATTTCAAAATAGATGTTGCCTTTAAGCTGTCCAAAAACCTCAATATCATCTGACGACCAATTAGATAAAGTTTTTAATAATTATAAAAATAAAAAACAAGGTGCTTTGAAAAGAGAGATAAAATAATTTCGATAACTTCGCTCCCGCCTTTTAAACACAAAATGAAAATAATATCACAGAAACATGTTCCTTCAAAGAAAGTCATTAATTATAGTTTTAAGACATATCTTTTAGTGTATTAAAACAAATGTATATGTCTAAAATAACAAGAATGATATATAATATTTAGAATAATTACACCAAGTTAATTACATTTATAAAACTATCTTTTAAATGATGTTTCTCATATCAAAACAACAAGCAATGGAAATATTCACAATTCAAGAGATGGTGTGCATGTTATTTGCAATTAATGTCTGATTGATTTTGCATTAATATCACTATATTCCTACTGCGTGACTATTGCAGAAAGGCTTTTTTGCATGATCTTTCCTACTTTTTGGTATTTCTTGTAGAGAAATTGTAACATACATTGTTTGTTTACATGACAAAACTTTCCCTCTTATAATTTTTTTAAAATATATTTTAAATTTGTCATGAAAATAAGCATGAATCTGGAAACCGTTTGCATAAGAATAAATTTATAATGGCCAAATACATTATCTGTGTATGGTTTTATCATGCAGAGTTTTGTTAATTTACATACATGTTTTACAAAAGAAATGCAATGTTTGCAAACAATAGAATGGAAACTGTGCGATAACTTTTGTTCCTGTTTTATATATGGGTACTGTAGATGATTAGCTTCATGCAAAAAAAGTTTGAAGTAATCTCTACATTTATAAAAAAAGAAGCTATGTGAATATATTGTTCAATTTATTACAAACAATATAAGAACTATTTATAGTTAAAAATAATCATATTTTTATTTACACACTTGTAGTGTAACGCTAACATTTAACACATCGTTTCGCTGTGTATAAACGTGTTTATTGTTTTCCTAGGAGTTTTTATCTAAAAAACGATATTTATATCACTTGGTCCTTCAAAGCTTAATCAAACCAGCCATTGACATTTGATAGCTCTTCAGGCAGCGTTATTTCTTCCTCATTCGATGTATCAATTTTGATCATGTTTTCTTTAATTCAATAATACATTACGTGATGCCTCATAGATTATGCATTATCACAGTTACTTGTTTTGTTTACACAGATTGAAAAAATAAAAAATTCAAAAAATTTATTCAAGACAAAAAATCACTAATTACAAAGATTTAATTGTCAGTTTTAGAATAATTTCTAATAAGTTTGAGAATAGAACATGTATGTACTCTTCTGAAGGTGTGTATCATTCAAGCAGATTGTATAAAATTGTGTGTTCTTTTTCAAAATACATAAAAAGAAGCAATTAAATAAACCAGAACAGTGCATTCATCTATTATTCTTTTTACTATAAACGTATATTTTCAGTAAAATACGAAACATATATTTGAACGGAAGAAATAAGTTATTTGTTATTCCTTAAATAGGTCGAGTAATTGTTATGTTGCAATAGTACGCGATTGATTTTATATGACGTCATGGAGCGCGCGAATTTACCCAGCATTTAAACTATTAAGTTGGAAAGGCCAGCATCAATTTTTACAAAAATACAATATAATGATACTTAAATTATGGAAACAATTTACATTTTAGTTTCAGTAATATGATTTTCTTATATGAGTTTTTCTATTACATTTATTCTGTGACATGTTTGAAGATCTCAATATCAATAATCTAGGTTTTTGCGAATAAAGATGGGTTCTGGTCGTTTAATACGGAAAATATTAATTTCATTCACACGTTTGGTCCGTCAGTATGTCAGATGTTACACAGGCTTGTAGATGAAAACAAAGTATCTAATTCGGAATTTCGTTTTTTTTTATTTCTCCAGAGAAGTTATCAGTGTATAATATAAAAGACTAAACATCATTGAAACAAAGTCCTAGAGAACACTTATCTGATATTTTGGATCATTTAATAACGTTATTTATTTATAACAATAAGTGGTAACGGCATCAATGAAATGTAATAAGTAAGGCATAAAATGTGAATTTGACAGTATATTATGCGATTAAAACACGCTTTATTGGCGATTTTATCAATTATGAAGTAATAGTAGTCACGTAATCAACAACTACACATATGAAGTCACACATAATTGTGACGTATTCATTTGTTCTCGACTTGTTCAGGAGCTCTGTGTAATTGGTTGAATGATATACCTATATGAGTATCATATAGATGTGGAATGGCATTAGGAGACTATGGTATATGTTAAGTATTAAATGTTTATAAATAAAACATTTTACATGGTAATGTTGTTGTTTTAAGTGACGTATATTTACCAAAAGTAATGATTTACACATTTAATCTGATAACACCAGTATTTACCATTATTTGAAATATTACATCATTTCCATGTTAATTATACCATCTTACAACATACCGTATATCAGGCTTTTTCGCGAGTATCTAATTTTTGCTTTATTCACGTGCAATGAATATCGCAAAAAAAAAATCGACCAATTTCCTTTCAATTTGATAAGGTGATTTTGCGAGTTTTTTCTGCGGATGTTTCGAAATTCTAAATTTTACCATTTCATGTTAAATGTTGAATTCTGCATAAGCCGGTGCTAGGGGCGTGGACGGTACTTTGCATTTGACAGTACCGTCTATGAACAGGCTCAATCAAACCGAGTCTGCAACATTTTCAATTGTGCCATGTTGGGCTTTCTTTAGGGCCCAGTTACACAGACGGTCGGTCCCCAATCGGTCATTTAATTTTAAATTTACTCGCTGTTATGATCGGTTGTCATGCGTGATTTTATTTCTGGTTTTCTGTGTAAACGGCCATCGGTGACAGAAAGCAAACTCAAACGGGAATGAGTCGATGATTAAATGCTGAAATACTTTTGGTTTTTATCGTTTGTAAATCGGAGCTAAATCGGGCGTAACGCTGATTAATCGGTGTTTGATAGCTAGTCATCAGTGGTTAAACACTTTCCGTCAGATATGGCCGGTGATTCATATTTGGTTATCTTTGTCCGATCGGTGATATCGGTGATTAAGAGCTTGCATATCTCATGATATAGGTTGCCGTCGGTAATTTTTAAAATATTTTCACCGATCGAGAATTTTAAACGTGTTTAAAAATCCCAATCGGTAATTTTTCACCGATGAAACTTATCTTTCCCCAATAGCAGTTGATAGGTGGAAAACAGGTGACCAATAGGTGATATCGGTGATCAATACGTTGTCATCGGCTCACTCCATAATTTGGCTAAAAAAACTACCGATCAATCACCGATGGCTCTGTGTAACTGGGGTGTTAGGGATTCTTATTTCTTTCTATTTTTGGACCTTTTTGGATTTTGCTACTCAGTTTAGTCGTAAATATCTGAAACTGTGATACCTGCATATCAATATATCCAATATCAATTTTCGATATTCATGCTTGTTTAGAATTGTTTTTTGGGGACTTTGTTTTACATAAACAAATCTTAAGTGGCATAGATAGTGAGCAAACTTGCAGTTTTACTAATTGCCCGATATAATAAGATAATTCACACATTGCTGGTAGGTAAACGAACACAGGCAGCTCAACAATAAGGTGAGATGAGGCAATAAGTGTGAACTACTAAATACATACTTGTAAGCAATACGTCAAGAGAAAAATTGAAAACAAAGTTTTAACTGTGAGAACAATAAATTTCTGACAAAAAAGAATGATCTGTCTTTGTAAGCAGAAAAACGCGGAAAAAAGAAACATATACAACAAAATCGCTAGAATCACTAAAGAATAAGAAATGCCAGAATCGCGAAATTTGTCGTACGAGAAAATAACCTGATATACGGTTTTCGCTAAAAAAAAGTTATCATATGTGTCTTTATGAAGCCTAAGCCATATATGTAGCTATTGTTCCAGAATGATTTGAGCTGCCAAATCTGCTACTACGGATATGTGATTTGTAGATCCTGTTTTTCCTTTGTTTGAAACGCAACATAAGTGCAAGTTCATTTCTAAAATATGCACCCGTGATACTGTATAAAAAGAAATTAACACAATAGTTCATATAAAACACTGTTCTTGTAACAAGTAGCACCCCGTTCCAGTAGTCAATGTCTTTGTAATTGAAATTATAGGTATCAAATCTTTTAAATTTCGAAGACATAAAATTTCTGAACCAGACTGCTGAATAGGGCAAATTGAACGCAATAAAGAAGAATGAAATCGCTAGCAGTATAAACGTAAACTCGAGTCGTATCTTAGTTGTTTCCGCAAAAAGTTCACGGTGGCGATAATTTCTTAAGTACAAAGTTCGCATAATCATTATATTTAGAATTGTTATGACGATAAAAGGAACAAGTGTTATAAGTAAAGCAAAAATTGAATCTAACACAAATGACTCAAAACTGTACATTGGATTTGAACTGCAAGTCATTTGTCCTCTCTTTATGTACTCGCCGCTAAGAATAGGTTTGTATAAAACAAGAAGACCGCCAATGATCAACATTCCTATTAATATCTTTTTTGACTTTCCTTTGAAAGATTTAAGAGGGTAACAAACTCCTGTAAACCGTTCGATGGTGAATACAACAATTATCCAAGTTGACATTACACGAGATATGTATGACAAAAACAAGAACACTTGACACGGTCCGTCCCTATTCAAAACGTTTAATAAAATATCAGCATCCGGATTTATATGGACAAGACCTCTTCGTAACCATTCAATAAACACATAGAAGATCAGGGTACAAATATCAGCTGCTGATAACGCCGCCAGATAAGAACTTGCAGACATTTTGCGCATGTTCTTTGAGGTGAATACAGCCAGAGATAGTCCGTTTCCTATCAAACCGATAACTAGTATAAATGGTGTAAAGTATGAGAATAAATTTAATCCGATTATATAAACTGATGGTTTCTGATATTCAAAGTTGCTTTGTAAATCAAAATCTAAGAAATCATTAAAAGCCGGTGCACTGCAGTTGGAAAATATAGTGTTAGAAGAACTGTTTGAATCATTCAATGACATGGAATCGTCTAATGTACACGGTGGTGAATTCATTCTGCTAAGCTGTAATGAAAATAAGGAAACAAGAGTTAAAACATCACAGAGAAAATATATTATAAATGATGAAATGCGTAATAATGTTCTTTTACTACGAATATCAGCTATATAGGCTTAATGTTTAATACGAATTGTTGAGAATACTCAGCATACATACGTGTAAGTTGCACGGACAACAGCTTTGTAAAACAGCTCCGTAACATTCCCATTCACTGTTACTAGTTACTAAGAATTTCCGACTAGACTTTTCGAAGTATTAGATAATAACACATTTCTATTCTCAGAATTACCTTTTCTGACCTAAGATAATAATTGGTAAGTAATTTTACGACCTTAAAAGGCACTCTTAATTATTTGAATCACTTATAGCGTACTTAAAAATACTTACATAGCTATGAAAAAACGACGAATTAAATAAATCGTCCATTAAACTAAATTGTATAAATGATAGCAGATTGCTAACGTATCATCATCAATTGTTAGTAAATTGCCTGCAATATGTTCGCACCAGATGACTAACCTAACCATTAGCCATTTGTTTCTTCAAACTTGTGTAAAATACCTGAAAAGCAAATAAGGATAATATATCTCATATTTATGATAATTATGTTTAATATGAGCTGTTATTTTACAAAAAAGTATCTACCAAACAGATATAATAAGTGTGTTTTTTGTTGTCCTTTTTTGTATTTTTTTTTTACTTCTGTTAGATATAAAATAAGCCAGATTTAAACGATTTCCTTATATAACTTTTATCCAACAAAAGTCAATACTAAGAATGAAATATAAAGTGAATGTTTTTTTATCAGCATATCAAAAACAATAGAACAACAGTTGATCTACAAAACTGTTCAGAATATACTTTACAAAATAAAAGAAATTACAGAGCTGAAATTTTTAAAATTAAAAAAAATATATCGTCTTAATTATATTTCGGTAAGACGTTTAAATTATCTTATAATAATCTTATCAATGTGAGTAGCATTCATTTTTAATAATTATCCTAGGATAAAATTATTCAGAAGTCATTATCTAATTCATTTTGAAATAAATGAATTATCAGGCAATAACTAGTTATGGTAGTAAAATACGTCCTCATATAAATTACGACATATAAATATGGTGACGTTATATAATCACTTATCTTTTTGTGCCCCCACGTTAGTGGCGGGCATTTAGATTTACCCTTGTCCGTCCGTCTGTCCGTCCGTCCTTCCGTCCGTCCGTCCGTTCACTTTTGTGTCGCATGTAACTCAAAAAGTATTTGACCTAGAGTCATGAAACTTTACAGGAATGTTGATCAGCATGTGTAGTTGTGCACCTGGGTATTTTCGTCTGGATATTTTTAGTATTTTCAGAGTTATTGCCCTTGACTTAGTAAAATTTTTGCAATTTTCAACTTGTGTCGCATGTAACTCAAAAAGAATTTGACCTAGAGTCATTAAACTTTACAGGAATGTTGATCAGCATGTGTAGTTGTGCACCTGGGTATTTTCGTTTGGCTGTTTTTATTATTTTCAGAGTTATTGCCCTTGACTTAGTAAAATTTTGCAATTTTCAACTTGTGTCGCACGTAACTCAAAAATTATTTGACCTAGAGTCATGTAACTTTACAGGAATATTGATTAGCATGTGCAGTTGTGCACCAGGTATTTTCGTCTGGATTTATTTGGTACTTTTAGACTTATTGCCCTTCACTTAGAAAGTTTTAGCAATTTTCAACTTGTGTCGCAAGTTTCTCAAAAAGGATTTGACATAGTCATTAAACCTTATAGGCAGGTTGCTCAGCATATTTTAGATTTGCACCTGGGGTTTTGCTTGTGGATTTATCCGGTATTTGTAGAGTTATTTCCCTTGATTTAGTTAAAAGATTGACAGAACAGTGGCGCGGTGGGGGCACCCGTGTCCTATGGGCACATTTCTAGTTTTAATTGATGCCGGTTTATGTCTCAGACAATCACTTACTGAAAATCAATATGAATACTTTATTTCTGACATAATATATTGCTAAGGCACACATTGACGTATAACATAAACTTCCATTTAATATATAAAGTATATTAACAATGCCATACTAATACATCCCAATACAGATTTGATAAATGAGATATTGTTAATGATAAATCAAACATGGCAACAAAACCTTCAGTAAGCGCAGGCGACTGTAATTAACTGTTGGCATTTATAACTGGAACATATTGCTTTTTCAGTTCATTTGTTGCAACTGTAATCCGTTGATCAAAATTACTATCACCAGGACTGTGATTCCCAGTTTTATTTTCGGTTATATTTAAATTAGATATGGAAGCTTTATCTGTTTCATCATTTATTAATTTCGATTTACCATTAAACATGATGGAATATTCAACTGTGTGTCTCTATAAAATATCAAATCGTATAAATAGTTAAAATGTTGCACGCCTTAGGCCTTTCACCAATTGAATAGCTTTACCCCAGGTTAATATGCCTATCTCAATAGCGATTAATTGTTTCCCGTTTTATGACAGCCAGTTTTACGTCGCGACAATATCATAATGCCCCCTAATGTGCCCAGTTATACTTGAGTGAAGTAAAGCGCGCAATTAGGATTGATATCTTACACAGGAAATTAAACTATTCATTATAGGGCCCTGCTACAGTTTGGTTTTAGATAATTCAATGACACTTGGTGTATAGCCAGCTTATGTTAAGACGTCTTTTGAGGTTACCTTAGGGCCCTCAGGGTCAAGATCAATGTCATTGTTACTAAAAATAGAATTTAAATGGGTATCAAACTGCAAAATACAGAATAAATATCTTTTATAAAACATATTTATTGTTTTCATAATAGTTGACAATTAATTTACAAGCATATCAATTATTTAATGCAAAGTATTTTGTATGTATCTTTATTTTTTATTTATTTTTTTTTATTTTCAGGAATGGATTTAAAAAAAACACACACACAAGAAAGACTTGTTTATGGTACCAATGTCTTAAAAATTTATTTGATTGTTCAATCAATATTTTAATAACATCAACGAAAGCCAACGAAATCCAATCCATGTCTTTGTTTTTATTTACATTTTAAATACATATGCATGATAACGAATATTTATTTGGCAATTGTATTGATACATATTTTTCAAATAAATGTCATTTCATGAAATAATTCAAATACATATTAAATTATCATAATGAGATAATGGTAAACAATATTTTATAATCTACTATTTCAATATCATCAATAAATTCTATAGAAAAAAACAATTCCGTAACTAAAAATAAAATGTTTTAGTTATTAGTCTTAACCTGTTATAAAACGCTTAAGCAAATAAACATTAAAAAACATTTTAGTAAATCTTTGTCTAAAATTATCCTTAAAGGTAACCTGTATGCAAAATTCAAACACAATTTACTCTAGGCCTAGGGTGTATAATTTATGGTTATTTTTCCGAACTTAGACGTTGCTATTAGAAGCGCTCTTCTTTAAGAAATAAGGAAACTCTAAATAATCAAAAACATCATCATAATAAAAAATGTTTTCCTATTGCTCATAGTAAAGAAACAAATAATAGCATCCAGGTAACAAATTACACGAGCAAAATGAATGTTTCTAAACATAATGTTTTAAATAATTATGTATAAAAATGTTACTATACCCAACCAAATTTAAACACTTATTTGACCATTTCCCTATATAAAAAGCCTTGTTCAAAATATCCCTCAAATTTACCATAATGAGGGGTTTTCCTAAATTTTCTTAAATGTTTATTGGTTGACCTTGGAAAATATAAAATAATTTTACAGTGTAGTTTCTATTTCGTTAAATTTTGAAAATATCTGGTATCACATTTCCTATAAAATGTAGGTATATAAGGCAAATAAATACCTACAATAATTCTTGATTAAAATCAAACACTTTTTTCTTTCCATAAGGGATCTGAGAGATACAAAAATAATGTGAAACAGAAAAAAACCCTTCTGAGGTTTAAACCCACACCCCTCAGTTTCCATGCAATTGACAATGATTCTAACCTATTTAAATACTCTTCAAAGTGGAGGTAATGCATAAGGGAAACTTGAAATGTAAAGATTTAAGAGATGGTCAAGATGAATATTATAGAAAAAAATACGAGCATTAAAAACATACATTTTAGAAGTTAAGAAGGCAACGTCTTTCGATATATCATCGTGATGAATATCTAAACAAATAAAATGTACACCTTAAAGTTAATAATATAATTTCCGAATTCATATTTACTTAAAAAAAATTATTCAATGGAAAAAAAGCATTGTCAAGTATAAATTTGAAATTATATATATATCGAAAGCATTATCCGCATTTATAATGATGGCTCAACAATTTACACGAAAATGTCAGTGAAATAAATAAACCACTTTTATCATTCAAATACATCTTTTACCTTAAATTATGTTATTCCTATGTGTCTGACATTTTCACATTAACTTATGTAACAATCTTATTCTCCCTTATTGTTTTGTTTCTCTTTATTCACAATAGGCGATATTCATACTACAGACTCCGTTACGCCAATGAAATATAAACTGTTCAGCAAAACTATTTGAAATGTCTCAGAGGAGAATTGCGCTGCGAATGTATCGAAAACTCTCAAATCCAATGAAATGTTGTATATTATTAACACAGTGAGATGTATTGTAATAGAAGAATGATGTAAGTAAAACAAAGTTTCTTGAGGAAAAACATTAAACAATTTGTATAAAACTATGTAATTTTTAAATTAGTAATCTATATCATGTTCTATACATTCATTTCTTCAAATCTTAAAATGTTAACTATCTTATGTTTTATAATTAATTACTAATTTATGAAATATTCATTTTTATTACTGTGTATATTCCTCTTTCCGGATCTCTTTAATAATTATTGAAGAACGACGGTTAATTTCATTTTAGTTCTCGTTTATTTGCCTTTCATTTATCTCAAAATATAGCATACAAAATGTAAGCTAATGACAGATAAGAGAACAAGTTAATATCGAGATGTCCAACTCTGGCTAGAACCATAATAAAAAGCATGTAAAATGTACACACTTTTAATTGTGTAAACAACCTACCTGAGAATATTTCAGTCTTTGATCTCAATATATTGATATTTGATATCCAATCGAGAGACCCTCACTAGCATTTTATTTACTTTGTTTTTATTTCTATTCATTCAACCTATTTGAAGCCTATGTTTTGGACTTTAACATTTACATGGTTCGTATACAACATTTACAATTAAAGCAAATCCTTGTATTTCTTTGCATCATTTAGTCATGTTAATTTCTCTTAAATCTGGTACGATAAAGGTATGACAGAATTGAAACGTAATAAAATTAACTGTATTATTATTTTTCTATCTTGTGGGTGAACATTTCGTCACTTTTGTCAATTCACGAAGCCAACTGAATTCTTAAATGCTGAAGGGGATATCTATTAACGCAATAAAAACTAGAAAGAAAAATTAAATCTATTCAGGCCTGTTCAATATAAATAACAGGAAGTGCAACACCTACCATGCACTTTCGCATCGTTT